ACAGAACAGGTACAAACTGGACATAGATAACAAGGCAACAGCCTGCTGTATACAAAGCTGGTATCTCTTACATTGTCTAGAAAGTCCAAAGCGATTATGTTGGCAGAGTCTTATGCTGATAGTCATTACCGCCGCTATCACCATCTTTAGCATCATTATCGTCGTCATCATCATTATCATGAGCTGACTTGCCGACTGGCGTGCGAGATCAGGCCCTTCCACAACTGGTGATCTTCGACAACAGCTATCAACAGTTCATCTGCGGACACCACTCTACGCCATGAAAAACATCTGTCAAGAATCTTCTTACCTTGTCTTCCTCTGTCTCTCTTTCCACAAATATTTACTTCAGTCACAGCGCGTTCCATTTTATTTTTCTAATAACCTAACTTCAAAAAATAATGACCGTCTCTGTTTGTTTCCTGGGTACAATTTTTGACTTTTTGACCTTAAAAGACGAAACACGCTTTTAAATACCACACTGGAGGAAAGGTCAAAGGCAAGAGAGTAAGAGGTGGGCAACGATACAAGTGGGAGGACAACATAAATAGATGGACGGGCAGCAGTCTGAGAGAGTTTTCAACCAGAACAAGAGACAGAGCGTGTTAAAGATCCATTACAGCCAATCTTCACTGTGGAGACGGGATCTGTTCAGCTGATTTTGAATGTCCAATAAATTTTAAGGATTCTGTGTAAATTCACATCTCAGAGATTTAAAAAACTTGTTTGACTCATTTAATAATTGTCAAGGAGTCACAAGCATATATTTTTTTAACTCTTCAAAGGCCAAGATAATTCTCTTTCCAGCCTTCCTTGATATTGATTTATTGCATATGATGTTCTTCTTTGGATAAAATACAGGTTTTGTTTACCTGTACTGTTATTTTCCTTATCTATGTGACACATCTTCTATCAGATATTATCAATGTGCCTAGATACATATATTAATTTACATGTTCCAAAATATCGTCATTGACTTTTATTACACCTTAAGGCAGAATTTTATTTCTTGCATTTACTAATTCTTTGCCTTCTCCTTTTTCAAGCTGAGGTCCATTCTTTCACCCTCCACCACCACTGTGTCCATCTGTAGTTCTGTAGCCCTTTCTGGCTTGTTGTTACCAAGACGTTGTCATTGATGATAACGTAGATTATTCATGTTTTCATTAACGACCATAAATTCTGGCATTTCCATGACAGACCTCAATATATGTTCACTCTAAAATAAAAATAAATCATGTAGCTAAACTCATTCTGGTCGTGCTCCTCTTGATGCTCTTAAATGTTCGGTTGTTAATTTGTATAACTACTGTTTGCTGCCAATGCATAATATTTATATTTGCAAGTCTTTATCCTCAATGTCTATTTTTTCGAAAATTTATATCATCATCAGCAGCAGTATCATCATAAACCCCTTCTGCTGAACACTATCTGGCATTGGTTATTTTCCAGTATGAATCTTTAATGTTGTCGATACATGTATTCGTGGCCGTTCTCTTGCTCCTATATTTATCTTCTGAGAGGTAGTGCCTACGATAGTATTTCATGTTGTTGAATTCTAGCGAGATGGCCAGAGCGCCACAATCCGCTGTTTCTTGATGAGTCTGGTACACGGTAGTGTTTTCCCAGTCTGACAGTTTATGTTGTCACTGGTTCTGGGGTAGTTAGGTTAGCTGCTTTTCTCCGGCATCTCATCTCGCTGTTTCAGAGTACATGATTTCCTCAAAAGATTGTGTATAGTCCATGAGGCAAAAGTATATAGATCGGTTTTCACTTACACAGCTGCACATGCTACAGACAGTGAAGGTCATACTAGAGACAACATTGCACATTTAGATAATCTATTTTAAGCGAACCAAAGAGAGGAAGAAGAAAAACTTTCACAGCTCTTTCCGACAGTGTTCGGGGGATGTGTGTGGATTTTGTTTTTACATTTTCCTTCTATAAATTCACATTTTGCCTACTCGTTCAGTATTTTTTCGTCACTATTCTTAGTAACATCTTCGTCATTATTCTTAGTAACATCTTCGTCATTATTCTTAGTAACATCTTCGTCATTATTCTTAGTAACATTTTCGTCATTATTCTTAGTAACATTTTCGTCATTATTCTTAGTAACATCTTTTTCATACGACCAACGAGAGCGACGTCTTCATATTTTAAAGTAGCTAGTTTCTTAGACGGATCTATACATGTTGGGTTCACAGGTCAAAAAGAATGTGCATATTCTTATAAATATTATTTTTTTTTTCAATTTATAACCCACCATACATTTCACTATGCTTCATTTTGTTGCTATATGTTATTGTCTGATCCAGGTGTCTTTCCTTTCTTTGTGTAATGTTTTGCATCTTTAAATTCTGCAAACTGTTATCCTGTACATGTGGTTTATTGTCATCATGCAGTTCCTCTATGTATGTGTTCTATCCATTCATTAATTATATTACTTTGCCCCATAATTATCTGTATCCCTTGATTTCAAAAACCGGTGCTGTTACACGTCTTCTTTTCATTACTTTTTAATTGTTGTTATTGTTAAAACTTTCAATCATGGTCGTGCGGTAGATTTCCTAATATGATGCAAGTCTTCCAAAAGCAACTCCTTAAATGTTTCAACTGTATTTTAATTTCGCTTTTTATGCCACCCCCTTGAGGTGTCGCCTGGTGGGGTCGTGTCTCGGTATTTTAGCAAGGTAACCCCCTGTATGAAGTGTGAGCAATTCCCACTATTTGTCCCCATCTCTGTACATATCTAATTCAGCCTGGTTTCTCTAGTTCCTCCGTATTTTTTCACTATTTCTTCATGTATTTTAGAATATTCTTTTCTTTATCGTAATTCTTATTTCTTCTTTCATCCATCAAAAGCAAAATTCTGTTTTTCATCCATTTCTTGTTACCAACGAAAGAACAAACTTCATTATCAAAGGGTTACAAATTGGGCACACAGGCCCGTCTTACATTTGGCCTCTCCAAGTATTCATCTTTCAGACCATGACTAAATGTTATCAGTAATGCATGTTCTGTTTATATAAAACAATATATATAATGAAAAAATGCTTACACACATTATATATACACAACCATACACACCCCATATATACATACACTCCTATATGCCCAAACGTACCCAGACACAAGCACACTCATGCACAGATGCACACTCACTCACACACACACATACACATACACACACACACACACACACACACACTTATCATACATACACCCTCATACAAATACATACATTCATTCATGCTCATATAGATCACATTGGGCTGGGAGTGCAGAGAGTTGCAAGGGTGCTACGGAGGTGGAAGTCTAACAGTTGATTCACGACCATTCTCGCCTAGATGATCTGATTATCTAAAAATATAGGTCGGTGGTGAGAGAAAAAAGAATTGTGTGGGAGTTCGTAGCAAAAGCCAATATAAAATCTGCAGTGCAAGACAGCCTAGCATACGACATCACAACATCTAGCACGAGAATGGAAGTGGAAACTGTAACTGCAGCTATCCGGTAGCTAGAGAACAAGATGTATACACATGTCGCAATTGAAACAGACTCTGAAGGCATGCTGAAAAGGTGAAGACAGGGATGTTTCGAGCAGAGTGACAAGCTTCATTGGAAAGGTCACGGGTAGTGAGCATACTTTGGATCTTTTCTTCAGGCAATGCCGGCATAGTGGGTAATGAACAGGCAGACAGATTGGCTGGATCTGCACCACTGGGTGGCAAATTGATACATGACAAGGAATATGTGGTCAAAGCTCTTTGAGAACAAGCAAATTAATAAGTGGAGAAACAAGATTATTATCGCCTGGAGAGAATGAGGCACCTGGGTTTAACCAGAGGGTTTAGCCGGCTCACTTCACTCAGAGAAAAGGCAAGAGGGACATATAACCAGATTGTGACTGGTACCATCAGTATTGGAACTCTGCGCTGGCTGCTGAAGATGAGGACGGAGTACGCATGGGAGTGCCTTAAGTGCTGTGATGCCAATTCTTGACTCAACTCAACTAACCTAAATGACTGTTGTTTTAAATCACTTGACATTTTAGCAATCCGTGCAGCTACACTGTTTTTTGTTAATTAAATATCGCTGAATAAATAAATGCGCTTTCACTAAACACACAATCTTAACAGTTTTTTCAAGACATTGCTCTGCGAAATCTTCTTCATGTAAGATTTTCCACTCATGACGATCACCTGGGTAAGTTGATAGCTTGCAATAACTTGGCTAAGTTCATATATAGCCCCACCCGTTGAGTATTGAGACACACGCCGAGTCTTTGTATTTCTGGTAACATCAGTGATTCGTTTTATAATGTCTTTTTAAATGGTACGCTTTTAACGTGGCACTGCTATTGTTATAAACTAATGTATCTTTCGATCGCCGCTGTGCAAAAAAACACGGTAGTTCCATTTTTCTGACTGCGTGGTCTCGAGGCATGGTGTCCGCCTAAAATGCTAAAAGTTCTGGGTTCAAGGAATCCTGGGATTTTTTCATATGGAATTGGACTTCTAGTTATTCCACCTGGTCTCTGGGTAGTGAGATCGGACGCCCGTGTGCACTGTTGCGTACGTAAAAAAATCTCTTGGGAGTTGGAAATCCGCCGCCCCTGTTTCTATCCTAGGGTGGACTTACATACCGATGGACTGAATGGCTGTGCCGATGGACTGAATGGCTGTGGTGTTAAGTCCTAAATGTAAAAATTATAACTTAGTATATTTTTTTGCATAGACTGTGCTAATTTATAACCTCTTATTGAACAGGTGTCTAATTAATTTAAATTAACAGTCGTTTTGTATAAATAATTATACTGTCAATCAGGCTACAACTGTTCTATTAAATTGCGTGTCCTTCTATGCAAGAAATAAAGAAAAGAAATCCCCCCCCCCCCCACACACCCACCCCCACCACGAAAAAAACAAAAGTTAAAAAAAACGATAAACAATGACACGTCTGCACTGACTAACTTGTGTTTTGCCTCAATTTCACAGTCCTGAAGAAATCTCCTGACGACCTCAGTAATTTGGTGACTGGAAATTTAGCTACCCAAAGTCCCGTCACTTCGGGCGACAACGACAAGCTGATCAAGCAGAAGCGACACCGTACCCGTTTCACACCCGGACAGCTCAACGAACTAGAGAGGAGCTTCACCAAAACTCACTACCCGGACATCTTCATGAGAGAGGAGCTGGCCCTGCGGATCGGGCTGACAGAGTCTCGTGTCCAGGTTTGTGGAGTTTTTTATCTGTCTGTCTGTCTGTCTGTCTGTCTGTCTGTCTGTCTGTCTGTCTGTCTGTCTGTCTGTCTGTCTGTCTGTCTGTCTGTCTGTCTGTCTGTCTGTCTATATATCTATCTATCTGCCCGGCTCTCTAGCGTAGTTGGCTAAACCGGATTGCGCGGTGAGGGGGTGACGAACTCCTTGTGGTCCGGGTTCACTCCCGGGGGTGGGCAGAAAAGCCTCATTTTCTCCCAGATTGACGGTATTTACAATGGAATCAAGGCCGAAAGGTTGCGATATCCATAATACCGAGCCTAAAGGTTAACAACTCATGGCTTCTAGATACTAAAACTATCTATCTATCTATCTATCTAATCTATCTATCTATCTATCTATCTATCTATCTATCTATCTATCTATCTATCTATCTATCTATCTATCTATCTATCTATCTATCTATCTATCTATCTATCTATCTATCTATCTATCTATCGATCTATCTATCTATCTATCTATCTATCTATCTATCTATCTATCTATCTATCTATCTATCTATCTATCTATCTATCTATCTATCTATCTATCTATCTATCTATCTATCTATCTATCTATCTATCTATCTATCTATCTATCTATCTATCTATCTATCTATCTATCTATCTATCTATCTATCTATCTATCTATCTAATCTAATCTAAATACCTATCTATCTGTCAGTCTTTCTGTATGTCTGTCCGTCCGTTTGTCCGTCCGTCCATACATCTATCCTACCCTCCCTCTCGCCAACCATCCATATATCCATTATTCTACATATGCGTGTGTCTATCTATCAGTCTATCGGTCTATCAGATCGTCTGCCTGTCCGTCTGTCTGTCTAACTTGGTCGCCTTTTACGACAAGCTTGATAGGAGGCAGTTAGTCTATTATCTCCCTTATTTCCGGCACCACCCCCCCCCCCCCTTTTTCCCCTTTTGCGCTTTGCATGTGGTTCCAGAACCCACACGATGGGGAACAAGGTGGAAACATCTTTATAAAGCTCAGTTTCTGGATTGTCATGTTACTGGGCACTCGATAGGTAAAGTCATCAAAATCATTCCGACTACTTTTACTTCTCAAAACTGTTCTTTTTCTCAAAATTTTTACATCTTTGAGGTTGTCGCTGGAGCTTCGCAGTTTATGCTGTGTGCATGACTCCAGATAAGGGTTTCTCAACCTTTTTTCAGGTGAATATAAGATACTTACTCCCAAGTCGCAGTGATTCTGCCTGAGATGAAACATTTATCCGCATACAAATAAGTAGATCTGTAAAGCGGATGTTAGCCTGGCTCGCTAGCGTAGTTGGCCTAACCGGACTGCGCGGTGAACGGGTGACGAACTCCTTGTGGTCCGGGTTCACGTCCGGGGGTAGGCAGGAAAGCCACATTTCTTCCAGATTTACGGTATTTATCATGGAGTTAAGGCCGAAGGGTTGCGATATCAATTATACCGAGCCTAAGGGTAAACAACTCATGGCTTCTGGATACTTAAAAAAAAAAAAAAAAAGCGGATGTTAACGCAGAAGTCAAATTCTGGAGCAAGAAAAAGTTCCTAAACTGAACGAACAACCAGAATTTAACGCCAGTCAACAGCCGGTAAACGCTAAGAAAAATATAAGGCAAGCACATCGTCCTTAACACCCCTTCCCCCCCCCCCCCCTCCTCCCCCCCCCCCCCACACTTTGTTGTTCCTGTCTAACGAATCCCCAGCTCACTAGTTTTTTTTTTAAAAATGTGAATAAAAATACGAGGGGAAAAAAAATCACAAACAGTTGAAAAGAACTTGGAGAAATAGACAGTGTGGAGATAGGATTGGTCAGGTACGAATCTAAAATTAAGTGCGTGTGTTGTCTTATTCACTGGAATCTCTTACCAGCCGATGTACAAATTGCTTATGAAAACAAAAAAATTCGATGGCTTTTTGTTGTTTAGTTTAAAACAAAATATTTGATTTATAATGAAACTGAGGCGGAAACAATACTTTATTGTTATCGATTATTACAAGTGCACATGCACTCAATTTCAGAATTGCTTGACGGCCTACCGGAAGCTCCCGATAACCCCCCCCCCCCTCTCTCTCCCCCCCCCCCCACTTTTTTTTCTCCCTAGCCACATGGGTTGGATGCCACACCCCTCCCCTACCCTCCCCCACCTCCACTAGGTTGAGGAACGTACGAACGAACTTTATTTTCAAAGGGTCACAAAAGGGCACACAGGCCCGTCTTACATTCGGCCCTTCCAGACACTGATCTTTCACACAGCAGTTGTATTTTATCAATACAATTTGTTATATTCATAAGGACAACTGCTCTGAAAGACAACTAGTCTCTCCCTGAAAAGAGATCTAGCCATGTGGGACACAACCCGGAGCACTGAAGTCGACCTGGATTTACATTATCTTTAGAATAGCAGTTTATCCATAATCAGTCTACAGAGCATATGGTGTTCAACTTCATTTGCATAGACCAACCCGTTTTACACGGAGGATGTAGTCAAATTCCTTCCCGCTACCAATCAACTGGGGCCCTCCGTGGTCTAGCATCTAGACGTTCACCTGCTGATCCAAAGGTCATGGCGTCGAATCCGAATGGAGCCGGACTTTTTCCAAAATGATTTTGTCTCCCAAGTCGATCCAGTCTCAGATAGTTACTAGGTAAGGCCTTGGGAGGCAAAGGATGCCGGTGGAGTACCGATTGGTCAATACAATAAAGATCTAGCACTATATGCCAAATACGCCGGAAAGCGTGGGAAAGGTCTTTGTGCCCATTTGTCTGCTGCCAGTCCGTACTAGTGTTTAAAGGTCTCTGACTTTCGAAGACCTGAACCGTGTGCAGTAATGGCCTGGGTTCCTATCTGATCTTAAGTAAACACGGGCTAGGTCAGCTGTGGCCAACCTTTTTTAGATTTGGGAGCTATTTTTCCGACCTGAAGTTTTTGATAACTATGTGCCGCCTCCACAATGAAGGTTGACTACAAAGTACCTGCTGCTGTCATTATGAATATAAGGTGGTAAGGCACAAATCTCTTTCAAGGCGAGACTCTCGAACAATTGTCCGAGAACCACGAGAACATAATATGCATACATACATATTATTTATATATGTAATTCGTGTATGTCGAGAGTCGAAAGCAGGTACTGGAGAATTGTGAAACTGAATGACTACATGATAGTTAGATTAATAAAGAGAACCGAACAAAAGGGAGTAGTGGGCGGACGCACAAACCTCTGGGGAATACCTTGTGGTTTGCCTGCTGACTTGTAGACGGCAGTCGAAGCGTTGACCAGAACTGTTCTAATGTATGAAGTGGATTATGAGTGCGTTATATCAGTACAGAAAAGAGTGTCGGTAGCGATTTGGTTGGGAGATTGGTTAAAATCTACGTGGAAGCACACAAAAAACGCGTAGTTTTATAGACAAAGGGTGAGAATACCCTCGACAAATAGAAATAGTAATACAGATTTTTAGAAAGAGAGTGACTCACAAAGAAAACTGATTGTTCACATCAGAAAGAGACAATCTACATTCTTTGGTTATGTCACAAAAACATGAAAAAAAAACTGGAAGTATTTGGTGTGTGTTTGGAGTGGGGGGGGGGGTGGGTGCTAGAGAAAGACAGAGAGAAGATGCTGAAAAGTTTCATATCGTAGAAGATCATCTTTGTCAGAACTGACTGAAAGTACCCGAGACAGAAGGTTGTTGACAGGACATTATTACAACGCCACTAGCTATGGACGATCATCTGTGTCAGAATTGATTCAAAGTACACTAGAAAGAACGTTGTGGACAGGACATTATTACCTACGTCACTAGCTATGGACGCTCATCTGTGTCAGAATGTATTCACAGTACTATAGACAGAAGATTGTGGGTTAACTTAACTACAAATGCCATAATTTGACTACCAATGCCATAACTTGACTACCAATGACATAACTTGACTGCTAATGACATATCTGGACTACCAATGACATATCTTGACTACCAATGACATAACATGACTACCAATGACATGACTACCAATGGCATAACTTGAATACCAATGCCATAACTTGACTACCAATGCCCTAAGACTACCAATGCCATAACTTGACTACCAATCCATAACTTGACTACCAATGACATAACTTGACTACCAATGACATAACTTGACTACCAATGTCATAACTTGACTACCAATGCCATAACTTGACTACTAATGCCATAACTTGACTACTAATGCCATAACTTGACTACCAAGGACATAACTTGACTACCAATGACATAACCTGACTACCAATGCCATAACTTGACTACCAATGCCATAACTTGACTACCAATGCCATAACTTGACTAATAATGCCATAACTTGACTACTAATGCCATAACTTGACTACCAATGCTATAACGTGACTACCAATGCCATAACTTGACTACCAATGCCATAACTTGACTACCAATGCCATAACGTGACTACCAATGCCATAACTTGACTACCAATGCAATAACTTGACTACCAATGACATAACTTGACTACCAATGCCATAACTTGACTACTAATGCCATAACATGACTACCAATGCCATAACTTGACTACCAATGACATAACTTGACTACCAATGCCATAACTTACTACCAATGCCATAACTTGACTACCAATGCCATAACTTGACTAACAATAACACCGGTCATTTACTATAGGAAGAATAAGTGATGTGGTTAGTAGGCTAGCCTATCAGCCTGCTGAACATATCCTCCAGTTCCTTAAGAGTTAGTGTGCCTTCTTCCCACGCCTCGACTTCCAGATAGATAGCCTAAATCCAGCACCAGTAAATGCTTTTCAAAGTCAAGTTAAGAGGCTTTATATTCACCAGGTCACCCAGTGAGCAGTGACTTCCTAACCAAAAATCCGAAGAACGAATCAAGACTTGTAACTGGATTCTGTATATTTTACGATCACATATTTTTTTAGGAAACTGAACGTTAAATATAGTTG